TCGATCCCCGGCCGTGTCATACAAAAAGGCGTCGTTAAAAAGATGATACATGTTGTTACCCTGCCTGGCGATCGGCATTATTGGGATAAAAGAAGGCCTGGTTGGCTCGGAGTCAGTAAACTGTGGCATTAATTGTATCTCAGTGGGCAAGCACTACAAAACCGGCATAGTCCGGACTGTACAAGCAGACACACACACACGTAAGCACAAGCACACGAACGTGCATGCACTTCGCTATATACGTGCAATGCTCTTTAAGGCGACGTTAAATCCCATTTCTCCTCACCTCCTTTGACTTGAATACTAAAGTGGCAGAAGGCTGCATGTTCTGCGCTCGTTACGTCTATCGCAAACTCTTGTTCATCATGACATCTTTAGTCTGCGTTCATGCCTCAGGTCACTTCTCTTACATCAGCATGCTAAACGTTGAAAACAGCCACGACCACCCTGTTGTTCGGGTCTTCTGTGGTGTCCTCTGGGACAAGACGTTACAGAAGAGGCATGCCAGCTCATGGACATCCGTGCGCCTGTACAGGACATTTCCTAGTGTTGAGTCATCCGAAGATGAACTCATAATCAGCGACACCTCGGGGAGAAAATCCCAACGGCAGATATCAGGTCACTTACTGTATACTGCATACGTATAGAGATAAGCGAGTGAGGGAGCTGGGTTTAACGCTGCTTTGAACAGTATTCCAGTTATTTCACGGCATGTCGGCTTCGGAAAAGCCCGAGGCTATGCATATCAAAACGTTTACTACTTTGGTGAACGGGTGTGGTGTTGAAAAATCTAGAGACATAATCGAAAGGAATAGGGATTCGAACCCACGATCATAGGTTTCTGGCGATCCAAGCAATTCTGCATTCCTAATTGAGGCGCCTCAGAAGACTGATCCACCCGTTTCCCCAACACAGGTTAGTAATTGGTGTAATATAAACGTTTTATGTATGTCAGTATTATGAATATTGAACAGGGTAGATATCACGTGTAAACAGCTATATACTAGGTCATCTTTTCTAAATAGTGATCCATTAAATAGCGCACATGTTAACTGTGTGTTGACTATAACGCTAGAGTAGTGCCTGTTGCGCAGTTGGTAGGGCAAGGTAGGACAGGGGCCCTTTTCAGCCCACAGGATAAGTTTGTTTGCATAATTTTAGGAAGGAGGGGATCCTTCACAAATACTTATGAAAGTTATAAGATATGTTCATATAAATGAGAATAAGCCTTTGTTACGTCCAACTACTCCGCAGGGCGGTGTTGTAGCCTAGTGGTGAAAGCGTTCGCTCGTCACACCGAATACCCAGGTTCGATTCCACACATGGGTGCTTATATATTGTTACCGTGCCACGATCCTTTCTTCTCGGGTTCGAATCCCAGATTTTCTTCCTCGTACCTGGTTTATATCTAAGCTTAGTCATACGTTTAAAGAGACCGATATCTTTTAATGGTGGTAACGCCATGAAACGCTTGAGACAGAGGTCCATGATTTCTCGGATATCTAATTAAGTTTCGTTTTGAACTGTATACCTTCTGACAAAACTCACAAGTATGAACGGGGAGATAAAAAGGAAGACATGATGCTATAACAAACAAACAAGTATCCCCCACAAAAAATATTTTGCTGCTGATACATACACAATTAATTGAATTAGATGTAACATCTATGATAGTGCGACAACAGCAGGATAGATAAACGACATCTTAGTTACCCATGTAAAATCTGTCGAATGTTCCTCCTTCACGACATGTGGAATTTATGTTGACTATTGCTGCTTCACGATGGAAGTGAGAGGGTGTGCCGCATATCATTTATCTTATCCGTTATAACTTTCTCCACTCCGAATATAGTATGGCCACATGGTACCGCGTTAGTGCATGGCGCCTCGGGAGGTAAGGCGGGGTATGAGGCGAACCCATAATTTCGTTTTCAAGAAGCTTCGTTATCAGCAGCTCCTGGTTAGGCCCTACCATTTTCCCCACTTGGGTAGTATTATTATTATTAATAGATAAAATAAAAAATGCAGCAAAGAGGGTTTGGGTGATCCTGGCACAGTCAGGCTGGTTAGCCTCATCATCAAGTCAGGGCCCTTTCACTACACTAAGTCAAGACGGCGAATGGGACTTCTCCCATAAGCACTGCCAAGTCGAGCACACCAAGAACGTTTCGGAGAATGTGAAGACTCCCCAACACTGCAGCCTTCTGCATTACTCATATTGGCGGAAGGACTGTATTTCTGGCAGCAGATATTCTCACAATGTCAGACAAGAGATTGAAAGGTGCCAAATCTAAAGCACCGAGACCAATAGGGAGTAGGACATTTTGTTACTTGGGACACAAGCGTTACATTTCGAAAGCCAGCTCTCGGACCGCATATTTGCCATGTTTCTCCTGAATCTTGTCGATCACATTGGTGTCAAAGGAAACAGAGACTTCAATGATATCAATGATGTCACTGGATTTATCAAAAAAGACAAGATCAGGTTTGTTGGCCTGGATAGGTCTGAGGCTGCATAGGGGTTTATTCCAAAGAATCTTTTATCATTTTCCATGACGCCCTCTTCATATTCTGGGTCGTACCATCGATGGACATTATTGTAAAAATAAAGAGCATGGCAAAAATGGGAATTAATGGTTCGAGCCACTCCTTCATGTCGCTAGGATACCGTGTTTGTGCAAATGCTGAGCATTCACTGATAATGTGTTTGGCAGTCTCATTAAGTTCATTCCATCATCTACATTTCATATTTACATTTTGATGCAAAATCACTCATTGATGGTTTCGAGTGGGAAGTGACTGGTCCTGAGCAGCATAAAGAAAGCCTTCTGTTGCACTTATCAGGCCAGCCGACTTCATTCAAGCGATGTAATGTGCAGGGTTGTACGTCTCAACACACTGTACCTAAACTCGATGCAGTGGTCGTTCAGATAGCCTCTCCTTGAACAGCTCAGTCTGGGTTGATTTGATATGGCGCTTCGCTTGGTTGAATCTCAGTATAGAACCATCAACAAATTATGTTATGTCCCACATCCTTAGCTCGTTTAAGAAAACTGTTGAATGTCTTGTTCTCATCATGAGTCATGACATGCTTCACAAGAAAATCATCAGACAAATAAATGTGTCAAGAAGAGCCTCCACATTAATCTAACCACGCCAATTATAATTGGTAAATATACGCGATTGATGGGAGAGCGAGAGTGGTGGCAGCTATTGTCGGACATGATTTTTCGTGTGAGGTTGTCAAACCCTGAATCTTTTCTTTTGTCTAATCAACAACACCAAAAGAATACGAATACGGCGGGTACAGTATTTGTGGCTTTGACTTTATAGCGAACGTTCAGCTCTTAACTCCACATTTTTTACTCTGTACTACATTTGTACTCTGCCCAAAGTTTTCCTTGACATGGGTATTCTGAAGTTTGTCTCTAACCTGCATATTTAAGTCAGATGGTCACTAACTCTTCCTCGTAGTAAACTGACTGATGCTCCTAAATATGTATGTATGTATGTGTGTGTGTGTGTGTGTGTGTGTGTGTATGTGTGCGTGCGTGCGTGCGTGCGTGCGTGCGTGCGTGCGTGCGTGCGTGCGTGTGTGTGTGTGTGTGTGTGTGTGTGTGTGTGTGTTCACAAGGATAGCTTTAAACATGTATCGGTGTTTGGGGAATGTCTGGGGTTTTGGCCCATGTGTTTGCTTGGCGACCCAGCTTCACTTCCCATTCAGTGCAGGTTAGCGCCCTATCTTATGGACAAAGGAATATATCCCCAGTTTTGTTCAATGACATTTTTCCTTCCATGTCGGGGTAAGCACTTCCTTCTATTATACGATTGGGTTATCTACTACTGCAGGTCGATTTACTTAGGGCGACCATCGAATCTATTCATAACGGCCCCGTCTTTTTGACGCCATGCATGTTCGTAGAAGGAGCCGAAAGTATTAAGATGTATCTACTACAGTAAAATACGTTTATAACAAACACGCTTATAACGAACTGTCGGATATTACGAACTTAATTTTTGGTCCCGGCCATTTGCTGTATAGATGTATAGATGTGTATAACGAACTACGGTTATAACGAACTAAAATTAGTGGTCCATTTGAGTTCGTTATGAACGTAGTTTACTGTAACACGATACTTGTAAGCTCTTGCAAAAATAAGGGACATTGGTGTCTGGCAACAAGCGGGTATATTTTACACAAAAAAAGGAATGTGGTGAGTTAGCGATTCCTGTTAGATTGGTTATCTGTGTCCTGTCTATGTCGAGACATTAAGTAATAATCCGAACGTATGGCTCAGGGTAAGAATTAAGGTCTCCAGCAAGTTATATGCTTGTTGTAAGAGGACACTAAATAGATCGTGTTTTCAGGTTCTCTAATCTGGTTGATGCATGCCATCGTATCCAAGTTGCGTAGATCGCTGCACGCGATTATTTACAGACTGTCAAACCACACACAAATGCACACATGAACGACATGCCAGCATGATTTAGCAAATATGTAACTGAATAAGAATACTTTGCTCAAATGCGTTTTGTTACAAATCGTGTTGATTGTGTTATTGACTAGAATATACCATCAGCCTGGACACATAGGAAAGTGATATTTTGTACAAGTGGATAATTGTAGGTACAGCCAACTACGGTTATACCGAACTCAAATGGACCACTAGTTTTAGTTCGTTATAACCGTATATACAACATCTATACAGCAAATGGCCGGGACAAAAAATTAAGTTCGTAATATCCGTCAGTTCGTTATAAACGTATTTTACTGTAGTTTTAATAGGTAGTTCCCCTGAACCCGATACAAGTGTTTTCCAACTTGAGTTGCAATGTATGTATGTTTTCGCCTATATATCTACCAGTTTATGAATGTTATCGATCCCAATTTGCGTGGTTCGATGCTCATGATATCAATCACTGGATTGTCTAGTCCAGACTCGATTATTTACCGGCCGCCGTCATATAGATGGAACGTTGCTGAGTGCGGCGTAAAACAACCTACCAAATAACCAACCAGTTTGTGGAGAGTGTTGGTAAGGAAAGTTATTCTGTATCAGCCATTGATTGCACTGTCGATCATTCATACCCACCTACAGTGAGGCTGATAACAAATTAAACAGGAACTTTAATCCCCTGGTAATTTAAGTAGGTCAGACAGGGTTGACAGATAGTGGTCGCGACATAAGACGACGGAGTCGGATACTTGTAGCTAGTCCCTATAGGTTGCATGTGTAAGTGTTGTGACATTGCTTTGGGGATCGTGTCGGTTATTGGACATATGTATACGTCCTAGTGTTATATGCAGTCTTGTATTGTGTTGACTTTAGGACAAAAGAACAAACAGTGTCATTGAGGTAAGAAACATGGTTTATACTTCCTCGTGTCTGAAAATGATATTTCTTTGATATTATGTGTTGTTATATGAGGTTCTTATTATGAGGTTGTTTTCATATCATTTATTTGTGTACATACCATGCTCATTGGCGCGACAGTCATGCTAAGATAATGTCACAGGAACTCGTTATTAGTCAGCAAATACAAATATGCACCCCCATATACAAGTAGAGAAAAGGAGCGTCACTCGATCGCCATCTTGCCGTGTGTTTTATATCGACAACCAGGTCTTTTATCGACAACCATTTTTCATTTGTTCATGTAAAAACATTTCTGGCCGTAGATCGATAAATTTCTACACGTGTACAAGCCATCTAATGGATTAATGTCCATTTCTTTCCGAAATATCAAAATTGTAGACTTCTGCAGCGGGCAGAATCGAACGAGTCATCTCATTCGATGACCTATTTCAATACAATCAGTATCAAAACAACAACACTCATCCGACCCGTGTTTTATAATGATAGTCAAACAATGATATGATAATGACAAACAGGTGTCTCCATGGGATTTGAAAAAAGATGGATATAAAAATCTAATCATTGGCCAGGCTGGCACAGGACAAACTGTTCTCATTAAGGAAATAGCGGAGCGATAAAGGAGAAATTGAAAAAGGATCTCGACAAGCACTTGCATGGCTTCTAAAAGTATGGCCTGACGCCGCTTTTAACAGTATTTGAGTTATATCACGGCGCTTCAGCTTAAAGTGGGAAGAACTCTTCGTGATTGGGATAGGTTTGGTGATGGACGATACAAAAGTCCTGACTTATATACTGAACAGCATTGAAAACGCATCAGCAATAAATCTTGAAATATTACAAAAACAACTTGAGCAATGACCGATTTTGATTAGAACAGACATAAACGGATAATAAAGAAAGACGACAAAGGAAACAGGAATATCACACAGCAAGTACAATTACATCATCAGTGTAAGGAAGACACATAGGGTTAAAATGAAAAGTCAATATCTGGTATGTCCGCCATTGACAGCAACACACTCCATGCAACGTCTTCTCATTAATCGAATAAGTCTGCGAATAGTGTTCTTGGGCATTCCACTCTTGACGTAGTGTATCTTCAAGTTCTCTCAGGTTCTGTACTTGCGGACGACGTGACAGGGCTGGCCATGGAAACAGAGGCACATTATTGTTCGCTAGGTACTGTGTTGAAACACGTGCTGTGTGCGCTCTTGCATTCTCTTGCTGGAAGATGTGCATATCCTGGTGCTGATGAAAGAATGGGATGACGTGATTTGCCAAAATGTTATTCCTGTAGTAAAGGGCATTAACTCTTAACACGACAAACATTGAGCTCTGTTCGATGGTTATGTCTGATGCCGCCCAACACCATGACACCAACGCCAGACAGGGTAACAACAAGTACCATCTTTAAACATATTTGGGTATGACGCTGCCGGGGATCGAACCCCGACCTTCCGCTCTCCGGGTGTACGCTCTACCGCTAGACCACGGAGGGGGTCTTATCGTTGATGAGATGCGCTTGACTGGTATATGTATTAATAATCTAATTTAAGGCATCTTTGCAATTCCATCACATAAACATAATGTTAAGACACCGGACATTCAATAATCAAAGGATACCGTTAACATGTTAATTGGTAGGAATTATTCTGAAGAATATCTTGATGTACCAACAGTCACAAGATTAATTCACTTTTAAATCTTAAAGTTGTATTCTCTGAAACAATTATTTTTTTAAGTGTGATATCATTACAGTTATAGACTGGCGCAATACAAAATAATCTTTTGGTAACTTTTTGACGTATTGCTGCAACTTCAATATTTGGAATTTTTTCACTTCTCTCTTTGATGCCACGGTAAGCTGTTATATTTTTGGTCGAAATACTAGCTTTTCTGTGCCTGGTTGTTGTACTATCTTTGACACATCTTCCAACAACACTTCACCTCCAACATCTATCACCAAAGTTGTCAAATCCGTATGTGTAATATCTTGTACTTGAACAGTGCCTTCTCTATCTTCAGTACAATTTTCATGTAACCAGTAATGATGTTTTAAGAAATTAAAATTGCTGCATATGGATTTATTGTAAAATCATAATCACGATCATTTGAAAGAATAAAGAAAAGTTCATATTGCAATTATCATAAGTGCAGATGCTAGGATTGGGAAGGGTCTAGGAGGCCCATATGATCCTGTCATGGGTTTTTTTAGTTTATAAGAATATGCGGCATAATTTTATGTTACAAACTCGGTGTCCAATTTGTGTTTATCGATGTTCATGATGTCAATCACTGTCCAGAATGTCTGGTTTAAACTCACTTGTTTACAGACCGCACTCATTTAGCTTGAATATCGCAACATAATAAACAATATTAACATATAAACAACCAACAAATAACAATTTAACAAACAAACAATATAATTTCAGCTACCACGACAGTGATGGCGTCAATAGTAAGCAACCAAACTATCCCTGCCTGTGCGGACATCATTGATGTATGGGCATTCCAACATTACATCAACCTCCTTGCGGTGAGTTCAGCAATACCTACAGCATCCAAGGCAGGGCGGGACAACTTCAGAATGGCCAGCAGTCCGAACTTGAACACACAGAAGGAAGCGAGCTACAAAAACATATTTTATATCACTGGAAAGATCTCGAGGAGATACATAATCTGTGTCCCAGTGTGTTCACATGTTCATAAGCTCAAAAAATGGCTCAGAAAATTCATCACTGCAGAAAAAATTCTGGCAGAATTTCTTTTCTGGAGAAAAATCGGGCAGAAGTCTTTTTCTGCAGAAATAACTGGCAGAACTTTTTTTCTGCAGGACCAACTGGCAGAACTTTTTTTTTTGCACGAATATCTGGCATAATTATTTCAATTCAGGAGAAATTAGGTTCAATCATTTGGATTTGCTTTAAATGACCTCTTTTTCCCAAAAAACTTTTTAGTTTAAATGATTACAAGCAAAAAATATATAAATGAGTGCAAATAGTCTGCTTTACTTACCTTTTCTTTTACAATATGAATTTTTTTTTTTTATCTGGTCATTGAAGGGCTATGTGCACATATTCTGAAACGATATGAAAAACACATTAAAATTCTTTTCACTGAAGTAATAAACACATTCCACATGCTTTAGAAACATGAACAATGTAAGATAGATTTAATCAATTTGAATCCTAGCATATTTAAAGTTCTAGGTCACATAGCATACTTACAATATATGAGCTTTATAGGTTATGAGCTATTTAAATATTCTTAGAATTACCTCCATCAATGCACTCCACACAAGCAGGGTACCGATCTGCTCTATGCTCCAGCCATTGGGCCTCAACTTCGTCATCTTTCTATAACTAAATCAGATATACATGTATATTAATTCTTGTAACATGTACATTAATTATTGTAGGCTTAAAAAAAGTCAATGGCAATGCAAATATGTATAAAGTGATCAGCTCTGAAGATAAATGAGATGTAAAATTTCAGATTAAAAGCTATGAGAAATACAATTTGTATTGATGGTAAGTAAGAAAATCATCAATCGTGTTTTTTGTAATCTGTGTGGAAATTATTATAACTGATTATGTTGATGCTGTATCTTTGTATGCTCTAAGAAAAAGATTCTCCTTACCTCCAACCTGATCTTGTTTGTTGATAGCCTTTCATCAAAGTTATAGCCAGTCCAATGTATGTTTACCTTCTAATTTGGGACAGATAATACTTTGGCTTTATACGTGTATTTTTGTATTAAAGATTAATCATGATTTAGGCAAAAAATGAAGGCTAAAATGAATTTCTATTTGTACTGTTTTGTAAATAATTTTAAACATGCTCCACTGACGTTTTCCAATAATCGACCATTAGCAGACAGAAAACACATCAGTACCAGAATACAAAGCGTATACAAGTTCTCAACTCATACCACTATGCACTTCCTGCCCGAAAACATTTAACTGCAACCTAATGTCGATAATACAATATCAAGTACTTAATACTTACAATAACCATAACCATAAACTGGGCTTCAATAGAGAATATCGAATTACAAGAGGTCCATAGGGCCGGTATCGCTCACCTGGATATTTACGCAATCGTGACAAAATATATATCTGCATTGTATACGTGTATAATACTGTAAATATTTCGTAATTTTAACTCTGTGAGCATTTAAAAGGAGTGGATGGCAAATCTGAACATGTATTTTTCCAGAAACAAATGTAGTATAAAGATCTGAACCGTTTCCACGTGATGATCCAGGATTTATCACATAAAGGGTATTATTCTCTTCATAACAAACAAATGTATGCAATGTATCTGATTATTATAGGGTGGGGATAATATCGGTTGCATGTTATGGTCAAGGTTATGGTCAACTCCTTTGGGAGTGCCGGACAGATGAACAGAAGGCCTGGTAGCATATGTGCATTCCTCTCATTATACTCAGCAGTTGTACATATGGTTATACGGTTATAAACTCTTTTTGGACCCGCCCCTCAGTCCCCGGGGGTGGGGGTGGGGTTCAACTCCTCCATTTCTCCAGTTTTAATCCCCACCAATGGAGAATGCTTCCAACCAAATATAGTTGATATCTATCTCTTAGTTCCAGAGAAGAAGTCGTTTAAAACGATAACGCAAAATTACCCCTTTCCCTCGGCCCCTTGGTGGGTCAGACCCTCCATTTGTACAATTTTGAATCCGCACCACCGGAGCATGCCTCCAACCAAATATGGTTCATATCTATCTCTTAGTTCCAGAGAAGAAGTCGTTTAAAACGATAATGCCAAATTACCCCTATCCCTCAGCCCCTTGGGGGGTCAGACCCTCCATTTGTACAATGTTGAATCCTCACCTCCGGAGCATGCTTCCAACTAAATATGGTTGATATCTAACACTTAGTTCCAGAGAAGAAGTCGCTAAAAGCAATATAGCCCAATTACCCCTATTTGGCCCCGCCCCTCAGCCCCTTGGGGGAAACAGCCCAACATTTGTAAAAGTTTTGAATCCTCACTACCTAGGGATGTTTCCAACCAAGTGGTTGATATCTATCTCTTAGTTCCTGAGAAGAAGTCGCTTAAAACAATATAGCCCAATTACCCCTATTTGGCCCCGCCCCTCAGTCCCTTGGCGGAAACAGCCCAACATTTGTAAAATATTTGAATCCTCACCACCTAGGGATGTTTCTAACCAAGTGGTTGATATCTATCTCTTAGTTCCAGAGAAGAAGTCGCTTAAAGCAATATAGCCAAATTACCCCTATTTGGCCCCGCCCCCCAGCCCCTTTAGGGGTCAGCCCCTCCATTTGTAAACGTTTTCGATCCTCACCACCTAGGGATGTTTCCAACCAAATATGGTTGCCATGTATCTCTTAGTTCCAGAGAAGAAGTCGCTAAAAGCAATATAGCCCAATTACCCCTTTTTGGCCCCGCCCCTCAGCCCCTTGGGGGAATCAGCCCCACCATTTGTAAAAGTTTTTAATCCTCACAGCCCGAGAATGCTTCCAACCAAATATGGTTGATATCTATCTCTTAGTTCCAGAGAAGAAATGTTTAAAGCAGTGTAGCCAAATTACCCCTAATTGTCCCCGCCGCTCAGCCCCTTGGGGGAATCAGCCCAACCATTTGTACAATTTTAAATGTTCTCCACCCGAGAATGCTTCCAACCAAATATGGTTGATATCTATCTCTAAGTTGCAGAGAAGAAGTTGTTTAAAGTAATACAACCATATTACCCCTATTTGGCCCCGCCCCTCAGCCCCTTTGGGGTCAGCCCCCTCCATTTGTACAATGTTGAATCCTCACCTCCGGAGAATGCTTCCAACCAAATATGGTTGATATCTACGTCTTAGTTCCAGAGAAGAAGTCGCTAAAAGCAATATAGCCCAATTACCCCTATTTGGCCCCGCCCCTCAGCCCCTTGGGGGAATCAGCCCCACCATTTGTAAAAGTTTTTAATCCTCACAACCCGAGAATGCTTCCAACCAAATATGGTTGATATCTATCTCTAAGTTGCAGAGAAGAAGTTGTTTAAAGTAATACAACCATATTACCCCTATTTGGCCCCGCCCCTCAGCCCCTTTGGGGTCAGCCCCCTCCATTTGTACAATGTTGAATCCTCACCTCCGGAGAATGCTTCCAACCAAATATGGTTGATATCTACGTCTTAGTTCCAGAGAAGAAGTCGCTAAAAGCAATATAGCCCAATTACCCCTATTTGGTCCCGCCCCTCAGCCCCTTGGGGGATCAGCCCAACCATTTGTACAATTCTGAATCCCCACCTAATCCCAACACGTATGCGTTTCCCCCACCAACCTTGATCCCACGGATACTACAAAGATCCTAAACACGAGCTGTTGGTAGAATCTTCTGACCGACAAGAACTTATATTCCAGATCTCGGCAAACAAACAGGGATTCCACTACTAAAGACTTCCAAACTGGTCACATCTACTGCTACATCCTCCCTCCAATCAGGTCCACCCAAGACCAGAATTATACGAACTTCGCATATGGAGCAAATCAAGAGCAGTTTCGTGTTTAAGAGGATATTCTACAGAGCAGCTAAGGCAGTCTACTTAGCACTTCGTCAATCAACGAAAATCTCTATGACGAAAAATGGAAAAGTTTTCACCAGTTCGCGAGATCCAAGGTTCTCCGCAGCCAAGCTACTTTACCACAAGTAGCAGATAACCTATCACTAATGAAGTACAACGCATCTTAAGGTTCTACACTTGGCACTTACTGGGCAGCGATCAGTTCTGTACCGACTACTCACTAATGGGAAATATTATATAGTTCCCGAACCTATAGACCTCTCAGACTGCGAGTAGTTCAGGTGTTACCATGACTTCGGGCTCCAAGATTTCCGCTGTCGTTGACCTTCGGACATTGATTCGATCATACCGCCTTATGAACCAATCTTCCAGACTTTGCCCTCCAGCATGGGATCTCACCGTATTCTTACGTCACTTCTTTTGGCTGAGTATGAACCACTTGTGGATGAGACCTCGAACTCTTACGTTCATGTCAGTCTTCCTCCTTACGCTGGCTCTTGCAACTCGTGTCCGGTTCCAGCGTCTTCAGCAAGGTAAGTATTCAAGGACAACCGGGTCGTCTTTTCATCCTCCGGCGCTCTCTGTGATTGGAAGCTGATGCCGTGGAAGACGTCTCACTTTACCCAGCCCGAGCCTTCAAGATCTTCTTGAAGGCATCTCAGACCATCCAACTTTGTCGCAAGCATATTTTTCATCCACTTGTTGAGGCTGCAACTTCTGTGGTATCTCGGAAAAAAACATCTCCACTGGCTGCATTCTATCATCCTCAGGGTCTACACCGTTGAGGGACTACCACCCCAGCTGCTTCCAATCCTCATGAGACGAGGGCAGTGACTTCCACCTTGGCGTTGCATAGTATTGGACACTTTCAGCCATCATGGAGGGATGTTTCGGGCGTTCTGATATAGTCTTTGCCTTCTACTTCTACTCGGAATCTCAGTCACCGACGTCCAAGGTCATAGCAGCCACAAAGCGCAGCCCAGCGGACTTCAAGTCCCAAGTCTGGTTTCCTGTATATAGTGCAATAATTCCATTTATATTGCTTATGTTAATCGGGTCCCACAGACAAGCTCCCAGAAGGAGGGTATATAAGCTTGTATGTTTGGACTTCGGTCTACGTCAATAGAAGTCACCATCCGGTGCGTCCATTGGTTAAATGATGTCCAAATCTTCTACCTTCTCACCTCTGTCTTTTGCGCATGTGATGTCTCAATAGTTGATTGAAGACCTGTGTGAAAAACGGGTATCATCATTCGTTTCCTCTTCTCGTTCTCACTTTATTCAATCTCAGCGTGAGTTTGATAGGTTGACGAAGCGAAAAAGGAGATGCCAAGCTGGTCCGCCTTACGTCCTTGGGAGCGTATGCGTGAGTTCTGTCTTGTAGAACCTGCTGGCCGGGGACGGGGTGTTTGTACAAAACACCTCCTCCTATCCGGGGTGAGGTTGAAGTCGTGACCGAGAAAGTTTAACCTGGCTCTTAGTTACGCGGTCGTTTCTTGGAACGGCGTCCTGTGTGAAACCATGGAACACATGATTCCCCGATGTCATGATGTTATCTCTTGGTAGCAAAAAAAGTTTTTTTTGTTAGCAACCCTTACACGAGTTTTTCACTAATCCTTGTTAAATCCTTTGAATTTTTCCTGATTTGTTCCAACTTCCTCGTGTACGTCTCACGGTTGCAGTCCTTACAGGCTAGGATATCTGCGCCCCACCATCCATCCGTGGTATAAATGCATAGTGTGAGATAGGATAAGTTTAAATATTTGTAAATTTTCTAATAAAGTGTATATTATTTATATACTTATCCTATCTCACACGCTAAATGCCCACCCAACCATCCCCGCATCACAGTTACACCAGCCTGTACGCTCTTGATTGACGATGAGGGTGCTGGATATGTCAGGCGATCAGGTCGCTGGGGTCGTGTCACACGGGATTTTAGTGGTGCGTAAACCATGATCACAGTGGTGATTTGGTGATGTATGGGATGTGTTGGGGTGATTGATGTTTTTTTAAGCTGGAAACTTTGTTCTTGGACGTTTCACGCCAAGATCGAAGAATAAGAAGAAATGCATAGGATAAGTATATAAATATACAATTTTGTGCAAAGAGATTTATTTTCAAAGTGATAATACTAGTTTAAATTTTATTTTTTTAGGTGAAAACACGCATGAAGATGTGGATCAACTGTTCATTGTTTTTGCAAGGAGAATTAGACAGAATCCTGCAACAACCCAAGATGTCCTCCTTCAAGACAGTGCCAGTAGAAATGACACAAGACCGACAACAACTGCACTGGAAGGTGTTTGGCGCACTAGACAATTCTTTGTGGACTCGGATTCCCCAAAAGGCAACAAGGAGGCACATGTAGTTGTGTTTAGGATTGATGGATTCGAGGTCTTCATGTTTTATAGAGATTAGCCATTGGAAGTGAACACTACAGGAAGGTAATATTAGATGTCAATGTGGACCCATCAACACTGACACCAGTCAGACTGGACAGGGAAAGATAGACGACTCCATGGAAATAGACTAGGCCAAATGGTTGTTGTCTACCAGGTTGTCAGCAGAGGATAAACGTGTGGTGGATGTCCTACCTTAGAAAGATGGGGGACAGTCGGACACGATCAAGCTATCAGACTTCAAGCCCTTCATGCCTGCCGCGGGGAGGTCGGCTAGCCTAGTAGTTAAAGCGTTCGCTCGTCACGCCGAAGACCCTGGTTCGATTCCCGACATGGGTACAATGTGCGAAGCCTATTTCTGGTGTCCCCCGCCGTGATATTGCTGGAATATTCCTAAAAGCGGCCGAAAACCACTCACTCACTCATGCCTGCCACAAGGGAAGGGACAATCCTTCATTACTTTCATATTTCACTGACAAAGCACCGCAAGACAAGCCTCCGTATCATAACAATAAAGAAGGAGCAGCAAGTATTAATAACATGTGGAGTGTTGCGGAAATGTACATATTTTATGTCTGAGCAAGATTATGTGCACAGTCGCTGTGTGGCTGAGATATTGCCGATTCTTATGCAATGGGGGCGTTTTGTACTTTGTATGTATATTTTTGTATGTAAGTAAAGCTGTGTATTTAGAATTGTACGATGAGTAACTGTAATGTGGACTATGAAATTTATGAAACAATATATGCAGTCATGTTATAAAATCTTGGTTGTGTTATATTTTTATTCCATATCTTTCAGTTATGAGTATATCTCATTTTGGTTGTTTCTTTGAATTCCAACCAGGTTTGGTTAGCCCCATGAAAATAATTATGAAATTTATTTTTTGAGAATCACATTAACGTCAATGTTGTACACTATAAAGTGGTAAAAGGGCCATTAAAGATGGTCACTGAAATTCGCACTCTGAAAGTAATTAAGATTTAAGCTCAAAGTTCAAGGATTTGCATCTGTCTGGAATGCAAAGGTATGAGACCAATTTATTGTTCCATTGTCTATTAGCAGTAGATATAATACCCACAGAAAAAATGTCTTCTGTTGCTGAATAATCTCTCCAAAGATTGACGATGGATATTGCTGCAGAAAAAAATATTTCTGCCAGTTATTTCTGCAGAAAAACAATTCTGCCAGAATTTTCTGCAGAAAAGCTATTCTGCCAGAATTTTCTGCAGAAAAACAATTCTGCCAGAATTTTCTGCAGAAAAACAATTCTGAGCCAATTTTGAACCAGTTACTGTTACTTATGGACATGTGAACACACTGGGACGCACACAATTTAGACAAAATATGTTTTTGTAGTTTGCTTCCTTCTTTGTGGTCAAGTTCGGACTGCTGGCCATTACGAAGTTGTCCCACGATGCCTTATCCCCGTATGGAAAGTGGTTAACCGATTTACTTATAGCAGTAATTCATTTAATTAATTCAGTATTCATTGAATGATATTAGTTATGTTCTACTGATATCAAGACATTAATTATTATCAGTAACTGTGTAATGTTATCGTGAAATAAATTGATAATATAAATCAAAACATTAATGATATTCAAAAAATAAATAATATTTTGCAGTGTATCAATGATTTCAGTTACTGTTACCATACTTACAATGAATAATGATATCGTTTATCCAGTAACTGATACAATTAAACCAGTCAACAAAATACTAACACTGAATTATTGATATCAATAAATGAAATTAATATCTCAGTTAATAAATAACTGATATCATAAACATGAAAACATTACTTCAAATCATAATTTCAAATTATACATTGTTATACAAAACCGTGTAAATGCTCTAGAAAAATAATTTCAAACTCGGATATCATGAAAATATATTCGGGATATCAATAAATAGGGTTTATCAGTAATGATATGAGCTGTGTTTATGGTATTAATGATATCAATAACCTTAAACCCTTTTTCTGAGGGAAGGGTCGAAATGAAATGCTTTAAGAGATTTTTTTTAATAAATTCTCATTGAACAGTTCTCATTGACTTTTTCAAAGTCGACTGTAATGATCAATCCAGGAATTTGATTAAAATAGCAATGATTCAACAAATTCTGCTATTATCACCTAAAACTCTGTTTTTCAAAAACCCTGTTTGAGTTTATTATACCGGTTAATACTTGTTAGACTCAATTCCCCCGGAGGCGATTGTATAATCGACGTTGAACAGACGTAATGGTCGCAAATTCTTCGTAAATCTTCTTCACGGTCATCTTTTGGGATACATATTACTATTGAATGGCTTTGAAATCGTCTCAACCCCGTTACGTTGACCGTGTCCACCATTTTGACACTGTACTTTAAGTAAATATATATCACGACGCATTGTCACTGTCACAAAGTCACTGAGGTAAGTTCTTAACGGACATTGCTCATCGAATGATCATAGTATTTAGATCTATTCGTTGCAATCAAACCTAAAAATATGTTACTGTAAAGCAATTTGAGCATACAATCTTTCATGTCATCTCTTTTCCCCCCGCGATACCGTTTGTTGTTGTTTGTCGGTCTGTGTAAACATGTAGTCACACGTGCAAACTGAAGTTAATCGAGGAACAAAATAAGGATATAAAAAATATGAAATTTTGTGTGAGTTCATTTGGGTATGAACCTTTATAGAGTGAGGGCCAAACTGTATGAACGTCGGAGATTTCGACGACGTTCACAACATATCTGGCCCTGGCTCTATGAAGATTCATACTCCAACTGACTTCACACAAAGTAAATCTCAATTCTCAATGCATTTAAGAAACAAGAAGCATTTCGTTCCAGGCTGGCATGATCTTCATTCTAGCGCTTCTGCAGAAGCGAAGATTCCGACCCGAGGTATGCGGAGGGAGACCGGCATTGATTGTGTGAGTACCATTAACTGTGCTGCTCTGTGTATATATCATCTTCATCACACATATACATGTATAATTGCAGAATGTAATGACTAAAACTATCAACACAAGGCCATCTCTTAGGATTAATGGTGTTTGGGGCCTGGAACTAGGGCACCCCATGGGTAGTATCAAGTTATGTGATGAAGTGCTTACCTTACATGTCTGTTTTAAGGATTAGAGAGGACCCATTAGTCCAATATATTGGTATTTTGTCTTTCCAGTCCTCTTCCTCTACTAGATGGCTACGACAACCGTGTCTCATACGCCGCAGCCTTCGGGGCCGTCACCAACATCGTCACAAATTTGATTTTGAACTTGGATGCACCCAACTACATCAACGTTCCTTTCTGGGCTAGGAGTAGGTCTCCCCAATAAGTTTCTTTATGTACAGGTAGATCCCGGGAAGTGTGGCGGCTCTTCTGGCCTCTCATACCCGTCATCATTTCCCGGTATGGAGCTTACATTAGCAGTCAATTCGTAACATTCAAAATCATAAGTTGTCAAAATAACAAGCACAATCGCATCGGCGTGACAACATAAAGCAGTCATATGACACAAGAAGCACATCGATATGACGGCAATAGGACAGCGGCATGAGAACCAGAAGCACAATGACATGACGGCGAGAAGCAATGCCATAAGGGCTAGCGTACTAGTATTATGACAGGAAAAAGCACAGTGGCATCGAATGAGGTTATTATAGCGGCACGGATCACTTAATTATGACTATGTACAGAAAGTAACTGTCTCACATAATATGGAAGCACCAAACAACACAATGCCACGATAGTAAAGAAAAAGAAGAATGGCATGACAACGAGAAGCACAATGAAATTGCAACGAAAGGAAAACTATCATGACAAAAAGAAGCACAATTCCATAACTGTAAGAGTGTCAATGTCATGACATCAAGATTCACATGAAACATAAAACATATAGAGTCATAATGCAATGCTCACTATGGCACCTGCCTCAACTGTCATCCCACGTACGTTTATCATCTATTTTGTTATGATACTATTGAACTTTTCGGACGTTCAGTAAAAGCTTATAGTGTATGGATCTGTTCAATTCCAGCACTGGTGCTGCAGTTTCGAATTCTGGAGGCCTGCATCACATGTTTTCCACTGTTCGCCTGTATTTCGACACGACACAAGCTGGCTGGGGCAGTTCTCGGTGTCACATATAGTTCGATAATGTAAGTTATCTGTTGTTAACATCCGTCGATGTGCTGAAATCACAAGATATATCCCCTGAACACTTTATACTGATCTACTGATAAATGTGAACCATAAATTGTAGAAACCTGTTTTAAGATAAATGCAATTAAGTACTATCCATGAAGCCCTAAAGATCTAGCTCTTAGTATGTATGTATGTATGTGTGTGTGTGTGTGTGTGTGTGTGTGTGTGTGTGTGTGTGTGTGTTTGTGTGTGGTTTTGTGTGTGTATGTATGGTTTCGTGTGTGTGTATGTGTGTGTGTATGTATGTGTGTATGTATGTAAGTATAATAATACTTATCATCTTCACCATCAACATCACCGTCGTCGTCGTCGTCATCATCGTTGCCATTATCATCATATAGATTATAAGAGATAATTGTAGCAACGATCAGGTCTAACTGGCACAGTCAGGCTGATAAGGCTCATCGTCATCTCAGGGTGCAAGATTCCTCTACACGCAGCCAAGACAGACCAAGAAGCGCTGCCTAGTCGAACCCACCAAGAGTTTTTCGGAGATTCCCTATCACTTCACCCTTCTGCATTACCCAGAGTGTTGGAAGGGATGTGTCAATCACATTGGTGTTAAAAGGGACGGAGAATTCAATGATACAAATGATTTCATTGGATTTATCAAAAAGAGCAAAGGTCACCACCATCATGTGCTGCATGGCTCACACACTTGTTTACTATTGCAGCTTAGGCAGTACGTTCGCTAAGGCCGTACAGTACTACTGCCAGGTTTCACAGTACAGTGCTACTGACCCAGCACTAACGGTAAGAATCATACCGATTTGCAAACAAATCACGATTGTCCAAGTGTCATGTTCATATAATATTCAGATTAGTTACATACCCGTGTCCTTAGATTTAACCAAGTCAAATGTGTTACTTTACCAACCAGATTAAGCATATATGCCATGCGAAACGATATGCTGTTGACACGTTAACAATAACCCAAAGGCTGAAAGTCATGTAGTTAAAACTACCTCTACAAAAACTTGATGGAACAAACCTCTAAAACCCATCGACTATTTTAAGTCTCGTTTGGCATAAAGCAGCGCCTTGAACGAATGATCGATGACTGACTTTAAACCCTACGTCACTCTATAGCAAAAATGACTTGTCACGAATATCAGATACATCTTTAAATAACTGGCATCGTTTAAAGGTATTTCGAGCGGTATCGGTTCTCACCTACATCCCGGTTGTGCTGTGCTTCTTCTATCTTATCTTCAAGTTCCTTCTTACCATCACGAAGTGCATCAGGTCAAGCACATACGTCATAACAGTGAGTACTATTGGATTTTCCATTAACTCTATATAATACCTGGGGCTTTTAAGCGTCCGGCGTTAGGTTATACCACTACCAGCAGGCAAGTGAATAAAACCCAACAAGCGACGCATAAACCCTATGTACCTCGAGTGATCCTCCTACAACGAATGTATGTTACCGACATGTTTTTATATGACATTGTAAAAGAATAAAAATAAATTCGAATTTAATAGAAAAGAGCTGTCCGATTGAGCTGAGTTTAACTTGTGCTATGTCGCGTCATTGTCGCGTCATTGATTCGGAAAAAGCATGCAGCTCTTTGCTTCGAAGCGAGGTATGAGGGAATTATTCTGGCTCTCATAAATCCACGTGCAGCCTGATTTAATAACGTAGTTTAACTGAACGTTCATCGGCTGTCGGTGAACGAATTGCAAATTCAATTTCTTTAAATATTCCTTTAAAAATGTCGATATTATTAAGCATTTCGGTGTGATTATGCTATTAGCAAAACTATTTTATATACTTACTTCAAAAGGAGCCGCTGAAACGGGTGTACACTCACCAGCAGCAGTATGTGCGTCTAGTTCTACACAGAGGCTATGACCCAAGGTATCGTAATGTTGGGAAGAACACATACACGGAGCGGCATGCAGGATACTACATAGTCAGCGATGTGGTTGCATGGAGACTTGTAGAATCCTCTTTGAAGAGTAATTCCTCCACTATAGTAGGGCGAAACTGTAGTATTATAAAGGCATGGTAAACTGTAATATTATTATGGCATGTAGGACCGTAGCATTGTAGTTACATAATGAACTTATAGCAACATGTAGGATTGAAGCACGATAGTTGCATGTTGGACTGTAGCATTTTGGGAACCATGTGTGACTTGTAGGACTGATTACAGTGACATGTAGTAATGTAGCATTATAATAACACGTAGGACTGTGGCATATAGGGCTTTATCAGTATAGTGGCATGTATGACTAGCATGATAGTGACATGTATGACTGAAGCATTATCGAATCATGTATATGACAAGCATTATAATGGGATGTTGGTAGCAGTATATTGACATGTAAGACTGTAGCGTTATAATGGTACGTAGGACTGGCATTAGAGTGAAATAAAGGACTGTATCCTTACTATATAATGGCATGCATGACTGTAGCACTTTTGTGGTATGTAGGACTGTAGCATTATATTGGTACGAAGGACGGTAGCATTATATTATTGTGGCATGTAAGACTGTAGCATTATAGTGGCATGTAGGGCTTAACAGTATCGTGGCATGTAGGACTGTAGCAGCATAGTGGCATGTGCTAGCATTATAGTGACACGTAGGACTGTAGCATTAAATGTAGTGACATGTAGGACTGTAGCAATATAGTAACATTATGTGACATTATAGTGTTACATACGTGTATAACTGTAGCATAGTGCCATGTAGGAGCATATAGCTAGCATAGTGGCATTATAGCATGTGGAACTGTAGCACTGTAGTGAACTTAATAAATCTGTTGTAGCATGATAGTAACAAGCAGAACTGAAGGTTTATCAAACTTCATCATTTAGTGGCAAGCAAAACTACTACCGTAGCATAATCCATAACACACATATCTGTGGTATCTATTAGCATCGTAGCCTTTGGCAGTTTTAATTTGGTTTCCTTATTGAAAAAGGATATTCAATGTATTTCATATGTATGCTTATAACATTCAAACTTCCATGATTATGCACACCGTACAACACTGTATTTCAGCAAAGAGACAACAACCTGTGACAAACTTATCTACAGATCCATGCCCGCATTCAAGTACCCAGTGCGAATTATATCTGTGGTCTTTATACTGCTCCTACTTCTATACAGAGTAAGTAGGATGCGGTTATTTTGAGCCCATATTCATTTTGATTATACAACGTCTATCGAATTAAAACCTCATTGTACCAGTAGAACAGTGGAAGTTGAAACCAAGTAATACTACACTAAATCACACACGTGTTGCCCTTAAAAGCATATCGTACAACGTAATGGTAATAGTAAACGAGCGGGTGACATTATTCACAATCATAGTGACAAACGGTTGGATGTTGATACAGTAGTGTATCACATCTAGTTACGCACGAGTGAATGTTTCGACATTCTTGTTAATGACCTGTCGTGATTGTTTCATCCCAATTTCCCCCAGTGTACCTAATTAAGGTGTGCTAGTCAGTGAATTCCAATTTGAGCCCTGGCTTTTTTAGTGTAGTATCATACGTCAACAGACGCTGGTCAGGCTATCGTCGACAGTCATTAACTCCCACTTACTGCAGACATCACATGGCTTGGGACATGGCGGGCAAGACGTCTAGGGCGCAGCAATTCGTTATGTGGAGTTTAGGCGTGACAGGGATCCTGTGGTCGGGAGTTCGATTACTACATAAAGATTCACCCTGATTATGATTTTTTGCAACAGCAACACATACAACTCACTGGTTTCCCCAATGTGTTAAACCCCACAGATCTGCACCACTTCATGCATTCTTCCCACATTATAATGAAATAACAGAAATTCTGTTCAAAGTGGAGTTAAACCAAACCTTCTATCATTCCACGGCGGCAATGCCACCGTAGTCTATTTGTAATAGTTCTGTAAACGTCTGCTGGCAGATGGGGGCTTATGAGTAATTGTATCAGAAACTCAGGCAGTTCAAATTTTGCCTTCAATTGTCTGTGACAATTCAGCTTTAGTACATGTGTTTTATACTTTCCCGGTATGTTGTTAGTTGTACAGTTTTATTGCTAAAGAAGCCCCTCAATTCATACGTGTTGGAAAATGTGTTAAAGGGAGGCCCTGAATAATCTACTGCGCTTATTCCGCGGGGTTCCAACGCTGTAAATTTAATATAATAGTGGAACTAAAGAACAGATATTGTATTCGAACGAGTATTATTTTTGTTGTAAATGTGTCTGTGTTGATATAACATTCTAAAGGACTTTTCTATTTGTAACAGTTTTGTAAAACGTCTATGGAACTTATGGGTAATTGAAATATGTTCTTATGGGTAATTGAATACCCATGCATGAAAAGTACACGCATAACATCACAATTTGTCTAGTATTTCTTAAATTTCTCTATATTGTGTTAGTTGTGCAGTTTTGGTTTTATTTAAACCCTGAAATGTATGACATTTGTCAGAGGTGTACTGCACTGAGAGGGGGACAGTGAGGCTACTAACCCCCTTTTGGTACGCGGGATTCAGGGGTATATTTAGAGGATATTAGGTACTCAGCAGTGTGGTCGCCGGGACGCGAAAACAAATCGTATTTGGTACACAGATTTAACATTTATTTTATTACCCTGACTTTCCACTTTGAATTTCCGTAAATATTCAATGCTGATATTTATACGACAGCGCCCTTTCAGTGGACAACATGCTAGAGCAAGGGTTTCCTTTTTCAAATTTCTAAATAATTCGTATGAATATCTTGATTAAATATTTGGGGGAAATTATCTTATTGTAAATATAATTTAACTAACAAAGAGTTTGCCGACGTGTTGATGCACCGCATCAAACACATCGCACCGCATCAAACGTTTTCGAGTCACATGTTAGGGTAGATGAGTTGGAATAACGCCATGTTGTCGGCACACGGGAAATAGAGATGTAATACTTTAACTAAGTTCCGTTTCACAATGCTGTGAACGTGCAGGTTACATTGACAAAACAAGATTGATTTTTTTCCAGATTGGATTGGCCCTGATTCTGGCAGGTGCTCAAATTGTTACGGCGATGGCAACTTATTCCGGCCGACAGCACTTCCCTGGAACTAAGTTTATTTTATTGACGCCAGTGGCTGTTGATCTATTTGCAGGTATGACACTATAAGAAGTGGCCTATTCGGTCGCCTTTTTTAATGTTTTTCATTTTCATTTTTGTACTGGATCAATACAATAACACATGATGTATAATACTCACAGCGTGCACAATTATCAACAAGGTAAGAGATGATTTCTGACAATCACAACAGTTTGAGATCAGATGGTATTGAGTTAGGTGTTTTGGGATTGCCTGGAGAGTTGGAATGAATTGAACACGTTATGTTTATAATATACCGATATATGATGCATATACATGTAGACAATGAAATGATACATGGCAATAATTTAGATTTAGAAACACTTCATTATGGCGAGGATGCGGTTTAAAAGAGTGGCAGTAATAAAGTGTTTGCCAACCCGTGAAGATGCAGGTTAGAATTGGTCTTCAGTATTCCGTGTTTGTCGAAAGAGTCGACAAACGGGATCGGGTGGTCAGGCTGAAGTGGCTAATGCATGTCATCGTATCACATCAATGTTCATGATGCCAATCACTGAATTTTGTGGTGTAGACTTCATTATTAAGAGAGAGCCGTCATATAGCTGAATATTGCTGTGGTGGGGTAAAACAACATACAAAGTAACCGTTAGCTTTAAATCTCAGGGGAATCGTAAACTTTGTCACGTTTCGTGACTCTGACTAGTACTTGGCTTTCCAAAGTATACCGACACCAGATCCTCACAAAGCAGTGTAAAACTTTGAGTAATCATTATTTTCCCTGAGTGAAATCGGTTGATGACGTGAACCGGGTTTCACCGTGTCTGTAATAGGTAAACATCAGAAATATATGTACACGACGATGCACGTGTCCATCATAGAATTGAAGGAACCAGCAAAGACATCACCATAATGAAGCAAATAAAAGATACATTCGAACCTCGTTGTGTCGATCTCGTGGTGAGTTCAAGTTCAAATTATCCGGGGTTCGAGGCAACCATCCAGGTGAGTTTTCAAAAACAAAACATCATGTTATGGGACATTATTACCAGTCATATCATTGATCTCACTGTCCCCATCTAGGAATTCGATACATCCAAGTTCGACACAACCAGGCTCGAATGCAGTGGGAAGTCAAACCCAAATGGACCGCCTGCATCAGAAAGGGAGAATATTCACCATTCAAGATTTTACGACTCAAAATCACCTCAAAATTGTTTGTCATATGAACACTAAATGAACCATTCGTTTCACAGAGGTTAATGGAAGTGCCTGAAAGTAGTTTCCAGGGGATTTGTTCCTTTCTTAATACACCACATAATATCTTTCTTCCTCTACCAAGGAAATATTTGGGTGAGATATTTTCCTCCGCTCAGAACGTTGGGTTTTATTTAACTGTCGCCTAATGCGCACGTATAATATCCGCCGTAGAAGGTTTATGTGTGTGGTGGCTGGTCCCATTGGCGATACCTTTATATGATTAAAACACGCTTTCGGTGGTAAAGCGTAGTGGTAAATGTATAGAGGATACTTCAACTGGTCAGTGTTTATGGTAGAAACAAGTTTTACAAAATAGTTTATATCAGTACATTTAGTGGTAGATGCTACCGGTAGAGCAGCACACGCTTACCCGGTAAGGGATGACCAGATGTTGTCACTGATTTTCAGTGATTCATAAATATAGTTGGACATTTACTTCCTTATAAAATCTGTTGCGGCAGATTATAGAGACTGATTATTCTCTCGGGCTGATCATACGATACATATTGTCTTCATCCTCAACGGAGAAGCACATAAATGACTTAGTCTCTTTGATTTTCGTGGGTTTTTTTTATTTTCGACCACCTGTCTTCATTATCTTAGGGCTAAACATAAAACAAGTTTCTTTTGGAGTTTCTTCGGTTTAAATGGACAATACTTTCCCCCTTCTGACAAAGATTTATGCACTTTAAGCAACACATTTCTTGAGGTTGAAGTCATTTTAGAATTCCACTTTTGTACACAAATACGTGTATTAACTCATCCTGTATATCTAAAAAAATAACTATTAATGACCATGTTCTACGTCCAATATTATTCAGTCAAAGTAAGAGTATTTTAAGCCTTTTAGGGAAACGGTTATCGTGCATCCTGATTAATTTCAGTCAGTATTTTTACCTCTTTAACTTTAGCGTTTATATGAAAAGGAATAATAGTTTGTGTTTGCATTCAAACGATTGCACCCAATACTTGAAGCATCATATAGAGGTATCGATGTCAACTATTATACAAGTCGGTCACCTTTGAAATTGTATTCTCCACAAGAGCACGCTTAGCCTAGTGACTCAATCAAGTGTGTATATGTTAAAGGAAGATAGAAAGGAGTACAAGAAAGTCTTATCTCTTCAATGTTAACAGCGTTTAAAGTCATGTTTCCTTAAAAATAATGAAAGCCATGTTTCCTTACAAATAATGAAGGGTGACCAGGTAATCTAACTACAAATACGTTTGTTTTGTCTGGATTAACCGTCAAAACCAAGAACGTCATTACAGTTTATTGAGAACATTAGTTTTCTTTGCTTTATATATACTAGCCACATAAAGAAACTGTGCACGGAGAAAATATAGATATAAGGGCACACCGTCCATATATGAAATATAGGTTTGAACACAGCAATTATTGGAGACATTCAAACGCTCATGCACATGCCATGCGATATGACGTCATTTATGGGGGCCTATGAACGTGCAATGTGTTACTGCACGTGCATCCTGTTCAGCTGTACACAGCATGTGCAACTCAAAATTCGCTGTCACTTTGGAAAGCATGATCTGGGGTCATTCAAAAATTCAAAATTTCTCAGGCGCAGACACAAGCATATCACAAGCAAATCATGCCAAGATTGACAGCTGCACAGCGTCATGAAGCCATTGGAATGATCCGAGCGGGAATGAGGCAACAACAAGTGGCAACACATTTCCAATGCCATCGTAACACGATATCGGCATTGGTGAGGCGTTATCAGAACACAAATGACGTTGCCGACCACCCACGTTCAGGACGTCCCCGAGTAACGACGCCAAGACAGGACAGATGGATTCGAGTTACACATCTCCGACACAGGTTCCAAACGGCAGTAACGACGTCCCAGACAATTCCTGGACTGCGCCGTATCCATCCCAACACTGTCAGGAATCGTTTACGTCAGTACGGGATTGGACCACGACGCCCTGCCATACGTCCCATCCTGACACACCGTCATCGCGTCAACCGTCTAAGATGGTGTCGAAATCATGTTCGCCAACCTCGAATATGGTGGAGAAATGTTGTCTTTACAGATGAATCGAGGTTCAACATTTCCCACAGTGACGGGCGCCAACGTGTCTACCGGCGTTTGGGAGAACGTTATGCACGCAACTGTATTGTGGAGAGGAATCGTTTTGGAGGTGGCTCTGTGATGATTTGGGGTGGGATAACAGCACGGCACCGAACCCCTTTGGTGGTTGTTCAGGGCAATCTCACCGGTGTTGGCTACAGAGATCAGATTCTGAGGCCTGTGGTCATTCCTTTCCGGCAACGTCATGGCCCGGGATTGACATTTCAACAGGACAATGCTCGTCCTCACACGGCTAGGGTCGCAATGGATTTCCTTCACCATAACAATGTCATGTTACTGCCATGGCCTGCAGTTTCTCCAGATCTCTACCCAATAGAGCATGTGTTGGATGAAATGGAGCGCCGTCTGCGTCGTCTTCCACATCCTCCAGATAACGTCCGTGACTTTGCACAGGATTTGAGGAGTATATGGCAGGCCAATCCCCAGGCCTTCCATGCCCATTTGGTGGACTCCATGCGTCGCCGATGCACTGCTGTGATTCACGCACATGGTGGTCATACCCGTTATTGACTTTGTGACTTTGTCGTATGACCCCCTACTCCATTTTGATCTTCTGACGTCATCGTAACAGATGTTGTTCAGGTCCCGTTGACATTTTCTTATGGTCCGATCATTCAGCTGCTACAGCGTCTGCATCATTTTGTTCTTGCTGTGTTGTATTTCAATCAAGAATATATTTTCTCCGTGCACAGTTTCTTTTCACACATATGATTACTTCGGAGGAAGATGCGCCTTTTTCGGAAGCTTAGTAATCCATGATTATCTCCATAATGCGAATTTGACACAATTTGTTTCTTTTGTTGCAGCCGTGTACTTCATTACCGCGATTGTATGTGTGATAGTCACTTCATTCAACATCTACCTGTTTATGAAGAGTTACAGGTAAGCGATGCGTTCTTGTCGATCCAATTCAACTGATTAAGCTGTCATTGAGGCATTGGAAAACCACCATGATCCTGTTCTTTTTTCAGACGTCATTTGCTGCGCATGTTTCGGGGAAACAAGAGTTTCATTCTCGATCAACTGCCGAAACCACATATAATGATGGTATGTATATTAACATTATACCTACTGAGATAGATGGTCGCAACTGAAAACATGCCTGTACCTGTGTTCAGTGAGAAGTATTACCCTGCCAGTATGCTCACGAGAGCATTTGGGGTAAAAGGCGAAACAGCGATGATAATTATGGAAATGGTTCCTCAACTTTGATCATACATGACAGCCGGGTAAATGAAGCGTGGGAATGTTTTGCCCACGGGATATGCATTATTCAAGAAAATTTAATTATTGTCAATTATTAAGTTATTGGATGTGTTGATATCAGTGAGAATCAAACGTTATTCACTTCAATACTTGCAAGTTATTGGATTCATAACACTACTAAAATAAATGAAAAGATGAGACAAAGGATGTCAAAAGGGTTGGTTTTAGATGTTTTCGGGATGTATTTTTCCGATAATTGAGAATGGGCAAAGCTTTGCACTAAGGTGTTTTTCTTTGGAGTTGTTCATGAACAAGCAGTACAAACATAATTTTTTATATTGATCATAGGTACAGTTACCCCTCATGTATTTCATCATGTTAGAAGGTCCAAATTTGCACAAAAGTAATGTTAAAAGAGATAAAACCCTTTCCATATTCATAAGAAATCTTTGCCAAAAGCAGAGTCGGTTATACGAATCCGACTATCCCATAAGCATGTGTTAATGAACCATTATTAAATAGTGAAAATACCAAGTTTCGCGAAAAGGTGAGCGTATCCTTTCTCGCCGGTGGCATCCGTCGTAAACACACGCAAAGGCAAGGCAATTATGCACCCGAGAAAACACGGGAAATTAATGGTTTGTTGTCAACTATTTGAACATGTCTGATATTTTTCAACTCTCCACTGGACGATAAAACACCCTTATCCAAACTCATCCATTTCTCAACAGAAGTAACCCTTTGGTTGTGGTGTCCAGATTAATGGGCCTTGGTTATATTAACGTGTTTTACGCAAAGGTATATTAACAAACAAGAATGTATATATACCTTATCTACTTTCAGGTCAATAGCATGCGCTTTCCTGGATATCAAGTTGCATACATGTTATGGGGTAACAGCTTTAAAATATTTCAAACATTTACATGATTTTCTTAAACGTTACGTAGCCTTATCGGATGAAGAAGATCTAAATGTAAGGTAAATGAAATGACATGCGGTTTCAAATTACTGTTTGTAAAAGTTTGATTTCAAAATGTCTGTTTGATCAGAAATTAGGCGTATATCAGATTCTCCCTTTTGCCCTGATGAAACAAACGCGAACCCTTTTGTGATACCTTCAACTATGAAAGATGTAGCATCGATTGGGACTCATATTTCCTTTTTTGTTAAATGTATCAGTTTATGTATCAATTACGATCTGTTTTAGTCCAGTGAAATCCCTGCCTACGTACAGTGAAACCCCGTTAATCAATAGCGTGCACAGATATTTTGTCCTGATTAACAAAATTCCAGATTAACGAATCATTTGAACTGTATATCATTGTCGTTTGTAATATAAGTCATGCAACCGTTCCCAACACGATGTTCCAGAGTTTTCAGGATTAACGGGGTCCGGACTAGCGAGGTTTCACTGTATATGTTTCCTGTCATCAACATGGACACAAAAAATCATTTCCTCCATAAAACTTACATTGTAAATCACCTCACCTGAAGGGGTTAAAAGGCGTCTAAGTGCAAATATCTTGTAAACAATTACACGCACCACTACGAGAAAATGAACAGACTTTGAAACGTTTACACTCAAAATGTATACCTTTAGTTACTTGTAAATCCAGTCATTACGAGGTTAAATGAGTGTTGCCAATAGTATTTACAAGTCTAAAACATACATTTACATAACTTTATGTTTAAATGTTCATACATTTACGTAAATGCATATCTACATTTACATACATACATATTTATTTGTAAATACCAAAAACGACGAAACTTTATTATTCAACTTTTATTAGATATATCTCATGATCTCTTCAGAATGCGGGATTCTGACATGATATCAAATCTTAAGTTTGGTTGGTATTCGCACTTCACGTACTCATGTTCCATTTTGTTGCTATTTCCTCAATAATTTAGTGAATTCTATTTTGCAGGGTTTTTCATGCTGTTTCTTGAGCTTTTCGTCATGGGTTCCATACTCACCTATGTGATCTACGTGATTATCATCAATAACCGCCTGACAGATGCACTAACATCGCTGTTACGAACATTAAGGTACATCTCGTTATGTGATCAGTACCGTGTTATTATTGCTATTTCAAAGAATAAGGTAGTTTATTATAATGGCAGTTATAAAGAACAATGTATGTTAAAGGCCCCTTGGAGCCTCTGCCTATTTTATATCTGCATAATTCAGGACATAAACATTATATTTAGAAATCCTTGTGTTTGTTTGTTGTTCAAGCCCGCAATAAGCAATATTCAAACCATTTGATGGCGGCCTGCTATGAACTCGAGTGTGGACCCTCAATGACATTGTGAGCAACGATCTATACAGTCGGGGTACGATGTCACACTATCAATCAAATCACCGGGCCTCACCACCCGATCCATTTGATCGCCTCTAACGACCAGCATAGGCTGCTAGAGACCTACCCCAACACGAATTCCCTGGGGAAAAATCGATGTGAAAGTTATGACATGTGTTCATATGAATGATGATTATGCTCTTTTCAATCTCAAATACATATTGGTAAAATGCATAATATACAGCATGTATATGAATTATTACCTTTCTGTATACTTCAAGCATCACCACAAAAAATCGCTAAGAGCGTTGTCACAATAGACACTAAAGAGACATTAAAACATCATCGCAAATTCTGAAATATGAAACAATGTAATTCCGTTTTTGTCAATCAATGTATGTATTCCTCAAAATGGAAATGGCCATCCAACAAACATATGACTTATGATGGGGTAGGAATCTGCTAAGTGGCTCTTTACAAAATAATAATTGTAAACATTCAGGTACTATTTTCATACTTCCAGAAGTTTTGTTTTATTGAAATGGATCGAAAATTGATTTTGTACAAGTGTTCCAGCCACGGCGTTGCTGTGGTTCTATCTACAAGTTGCCCTGGTCAAGCGCGTGCTCATGCAAGAGAGGATCAAGGTTACAGATGATACACCTCCTCTAAGTGTGGACAACAGGTACTGTAACTGTTTCAGTCTCAATTGTAATCTCAACCTTACTGTTCAGAGCCCCTGTGGAGATTCAGGTACAACAAAACAAATTATTGAGGATCGGGTGGACACAAAGTGTGACCTGGATGTATGTGCTTAGGCTGTATGTATGTATGACCTGGATGTATGTGCTTAGACTGTCACCGACTGAAATATTGAGTTGTCTGTTTAGCTCAAACTCTTACCCCTGTGACTGCCTAAGTTGGACTTTTGGGTAGCCTAGCGTTCGCTCGTCATGTCGAAAGGACGGGTTCGATTCCTCACATGGATAAAATGTGTAAAACGCATTTCCGGCGTCCACCGCCGTGCTATTGCTGAAATATTGCTCAATCGATTTGGAAGTGATAGGTTCAATAACAATAATCAAAACATACAATGACAACGTGTGTTTTAGGGCCGACACAGTGTTTCCAATAACCTGATCATGAACAGATCCAATTACAGATCATTAAATCACATGTTGAAGATAACTTTCATAAAAGTTCAATATAATTTCAGGCGCTTTTATGAATGCTTTAATTACTACGCCTTGTTCGGAAATCTGGCCATTGGAATATTTTCGTGTTTCTGGAGAATTCTACAAGGGCTCATTCTTGGTGTCTTTATGGTTGGTCGACTGGATCACAGCATATATTCAAGGAGCTGGGAACACAGAGACAAAGGTATGTCAAGGGTGTTGTTTAACCTATATATTATTAATGGTTATCGTTTATAGCATCTGTATATATGCTATCGTTATGGCATTTGAACGGTATTTCAGTAATAGGACGACGTGAGAAAGCCCTGTGATGAAGGAAGCACAGGTCACAGGATGGTAATGTGGAGGAATTTGGCTTTAAATCCATACCCAGCAGATCCATGCTCGGCTATGAAGGTAATGCTTCACATTGACTTGTGTCGCCGTTGGCCTCCACCATGCTCCCAATACATCTTCTTAGGTACGAATGGCCCAATCGTCTAATTCCCTATGCAGAGTACAAACAAGGGATCGAATTCTAAATCTCTCACATAATTTTTCAAATACGGTTTGGCATACCCGTGGTCACTTCGGGATTTCCTCCCACAAAAAGATTACACGTACTGATAATATTTATTATTTAGTAATTGTACAAATGGCGTTAAACTCAACTCGCTCACTTTTAAGAAGGAATATTTGTAGATATATAACATCACCTCCAGAGAACAACATGTCATTATTATCCGCCGAAACATATTCCCATGGGCGTAAAAGATAATAAGCCGTGAAAATTATATGCATGGGTCACTGAAAATCAGTCATGACACCAGGTGTTCGCGAATAGGGTGATCAAGTAAAACTCTGTTTCCATTTCTGTTTCCAAGACATTACTAGTTGATGATTGCCGTCGCTCATAAAATTGTAATATAACAAACGAATATATCTAGACGAAGGAAACGTAACCTCACTAGCCAAAAGTATTGATCGTATCCAGTATAAGTTCCGACATAATTTATACACATGAACGCATCTGATTTACGGATAAAAAGGCAATGCCAGTTTAACGTCACAATTAGTCGTGGACATGAAGTCCTTGCATTCAAGCTCTGTCAGTGATATAATAAAGATGTAGGGCACCACAAGCCTTGATTACATGTTGCTTGTTTGGGTTTTGACACTGACGTAATATTCCGACACTTGATCTGATTATTTTTCATGAAAACTCAGAAAATTAAACCCACCATAGCATTATTTCAATTATTATCCTATATGTCTTTCAATATCGGCCACGGTGGTTATCGAGGAGCAGCATTTGTCATGTTTCTATCTCACTGCAATCTTGCAACTTCTGCATGTCACTGACGATATGGCCACATTTTACATATAATTAAAGATGATAAACCCGACGGTTCGGCGTGGTTACGTTGCCGTTGACGCCTCATTGAACTTTCTCTTAGTAGAGCTGTATATATTGTCCATATGAACTTGTGTGGGCGACCATATATCAGGTTCAGCGTCATATTTAGATTTGGTACAGTACCAAACACGTGCACGTAGATAAAGTAATGCCATTTTCTTTTTACAATCTCCTAGCCCTATCAATACAACACATTCACGTTTAGAATCGAACTCGGATCTTCTGTGCGACGCGCGAATACCACTGCCGTATCTCGTTTACATATATGTGAACATATTCATGTACATATACATGTACAATTATGTTAAAACCTTGGGATAAAGCGATATATCGAATCGTGCCCGTGGCCGGAACAGGAACATATCAAATCGTGCACGTGACTGGAACAGGAACACATCGAATCGTGCTCGTGACTGGAACAGGAACACATCGAATCGTGCTCGTGACTGGAACAGGAACACATCAAATCGTGCTCGTGACTGGAACAGGAACACATCGAATCGTGCTCGTGACTGGAACAGGAACACATCGAATCGTGATCGTGACTGGAACAGGAACACATCGAATCGTGCTCGTGACTGGAACAGGAACACATCAAATCGTGCTCGTGACTGGAACAGGAACACATCGAATCGTGCTCGTGACTGGAACAGGAACACATCGAATCGTGATCGTGACTGGAACAGGAACACATCCAATTGTGATCGTGACAGGTCTATTGAGCTGTGATAGAGGTCGCAACGCAAACAAAGGGAATTGTGATCGCACCTTGACAGCGAAGATATCGCATCGAGATCTGAAATGTTTGTACCTTTAGTTTGTGCCTCAATCGCGATGGGGATTTTTATAGACGAGTTTTTGTCGGCCACTGCTTCAAGATACCATGTACAGTGAAAGGGGAAGACAAATAGTTATTTCACATTATAAATTCTATTACCTATTTAATTTTTAAAACTATTGTGGGAGCGTAAACCTGAGGTACCTTCTCTCTAGTAGTAACCACTCTCATGCACGCCAGTACACATCATTAATAACGGTTTCTTCTCACATATAGGCTATCTGTCGTACATCTCCATGCTGCACGTGGATAACGCACTCAACCACCCGATGTTGAGAGTCTTCTGTGACCTGTTACTTACAGCTCTGGATAAGGATGGACATCAGCACATATTTCAGACACCGGGTACGTTATATTTACTCATGTTGCCGTTTTATTCGTGTGTGGGTATCAATAAACACTATAATACGGGTCACATTATTTGTGTCATGTGGACTATTGGTATATGGGAGCAGAAAGTATGGTTTTATATATATACACCACATTGGAGTGGAATCCTTCCATGTCACGGCGAGGTACACTGAGAATGGATTTCACACATTTTATGTGGAGTGTTGAACCCGAATATTTAGTGTTTCGAGTCAACCACCATGCGACAATACCAATACACGGTAACACTGCGCCTGTCAGTAATGCTGCAGCTACATGTAAGGAGTCAGAATCGCTGCAGCGAAACTAGTAGTAAAACCGTTACCTGTCAATCATCAGATCTTGTAGAGCAACCATAATGCTGTTTCTACTGACATGTTTTTTTCAGGCGATAACTTTACTTGCCTTTGCATGTGCTTGTGACGAGTGCCATCGTCACCTTTATGTGAACACCTGGTACCAACACTTTTTGATAGGCATTCATAAACTCATGATCATGATAAAGTCGAGATCGTACAATGGATTTCTTATGAAATAGGGAAAGGCTTTTGTCCCTTTTATTACCATATTGCCAACACTTGCCTATATATATATATATATATATATATATATATATATATATATATATATATATATATATATATATATATATATATATATGACGTCGAACATAACTTAGCTCTAGATCAATATCTAGTGTCCACGCATCTTAATAATGAATATTTATTGTTCAAATATTGTAATACATCGGTAAACAATGCATATTTACGGAAACTACAAGTAAGGTGAAAGTTATCCATAATTATTTACATCGTGAAACAAAGAGAACCGGATACAATAATATTTATTCTTTGACAATTTATTCGGCTTTCATTGCATGTTGTATAAAGTCAAAAGGCAATATGACAATATAACTATGTTCTTGAAGTGTTACTATAGCATTCAGTTTGTTCGACCTTTGTGTATTCTACTAGTATCTTTTTGAACCAGGAATGCTTAATAGTATGAAAACGTTCCTCTGATCTGATTTCAGTGAGAAGAAATACCAAAGCTATAAGAAGATGGCTTGTGGCTTACACGCTTATCAACAACCCAGAACTTGCTCAAAGAAGAAAAAGTGTAAGCAACAACAAAAGTCAGTTATCCAGAATTCCTGAGGCTGAACTGGAATGTGCTGTTGACTGGCCCATTGATGGCGGAATCAGTTCCTCTGTGGAATTTGCTTCGAGTGGAAGGAATGTTTTGGTATATCAAGCATCCCCACAAGACCATTCGGATCTGTGATTGAACAATGCTTGTGACTGATCAGTGCTCGTTATTGGACAGTGTCTGTGATTGGGACAGTGCTTTTGGGACAGTGCATGTGATGGGATAGTGTCTGACTGAACAGTGCTTTTAGTGGGACAGTGCTCGTGAGTGGACATCGCTTGTGATTGGGACAGTGTTTTTGATGGGACAGTGCTTATGGGACAGTGCTGGTGATTTGATAGTGTCTGACTGAACAGTGCTTTTGGTGGGACAGTGCTCGTAAGTGGGCAGTGCTTGTGATTAGGACAGTGCTTGTGATGGGATAGTGTCTGTAATTGGGACAGTGCATGTGATGGGATAGTGTTTGACTGAACAGTGCTTTTGATGGGACAGTGCTCGTGAGTGGACAATGCCTGTGATTGGGACATTGTTTGTGATGGGACAGTGCATGTTATGGAATAGTGTCTGACTGAACAGTGCTTTTGGTGGGACAGTGCTCGTGAGTGGACAGTGCTTGTGATTAGGACAGTGCTGGTGATGGGATAGGGTCTGTAATTGGGACAGTGCACGTGTTTGTGGTGGGACATGTTTACAGTGCTCTTTGGTGGACAGTGCTTGTGATTAGGACAGTGCTTGTGATGGGACAGTGCATGTGATGGGGAAGTGCCTGGAATTAGGACAGTGCATGTGATGGGACCATACTTATGACTGAGCAATGTTTTTTATTGGACAGTACTTGTGACTGGACAGTTTTTGTGATCATGACATTCAGACCATGTCTTAAAATTACTATTACTTGCTTTACGGCTCCGGCCTCTGAATTACTACATGTATGTGTGGTATAAAATGTTATGTTTAGAACAGTTTGAAACATATTTTGATCAATATTCGAAAGGAAACTTTTTCACTTGCCATTCACAGTAACAGTTCAAACATCTACTCTTATAACTGTATTAATTCACGCTCCAATTCATGTTCGAAAGTCAGTAATATTGGACAATAATAGCAAGGTCACACGGTAGATGACAATGGCTGTATTATAACTTACTTGTACATGTATATCAGGTACTTACCAATAATACAGTTGTCACTTGTACACGCAGTAGACATGTTAAGATGGATAACCAACCAATGCACTGATGCATTTGACTAAATGTGGTATTCAGATTGTGCATTTAGGAACACAGACCGAGTTCGAAAAGTAGGTTGTTGTCAACCTAATCAGAGTCCACGTAAAACTGACTAGACCTGTCAGAAACATGTTCCCGTGTTTTATCAGTTGTTATTATTGATGGATTAAATCGCATTTGATGTGTAGAACAATTCAAATTTAAACATACATGTAGGTCAAATCAGTCAATACTGACGAGGTCAACTTTCGCTGGATAACGACTAAAACTGACTTGTGTTACCACGTAGATCAGATATAAGTTACCACATGTAAATTCAGAATAGGGTAAGTAGTCGTAACTTGACAAATTAGTCAATATCATGAAGTGAGTGAGTGAGTATTGTTTTACCCCGCTTTTATCAATATTCGAGCTTTATCACGGCGGGCACACCTAAATGGGTTTAATACATTGAACACATATGGGGAAGCGAGCTCAGAGCTTCGGTGTCATGAGCGAACGCTTTGACAACTAGACTACCCCACCGCCCCAGATATCATCGAAACCACAGGTCAATGTTAATTGCCTAACGCAATGTAGGAGCCACACTCATACCCACGTGTGTACAAGTCCAAACACATGTTTGGCCACTGCCACTTCTCATTTTCTAGATCTGTTGTTCAAATACAGACATCAAGTCTTTAGCTTCTCACAAATTCAACCCAATATATGGTCATTCATATATGTGTAATGTATATTCATAAAAAAGTGTGTATTATAGACTGATTTCATATCTATATAACAGCCACATTTTAGCAACTGTAAATCAAGGATGAAATAATAAAAGCTCACTTCTTTTAGGGAATGATCGATTATTTAACTCATTACTTTTTTGTTCTCTTTTGTAATTTGTTACATTGTGTAGATGTGGATATTCATTCTTTAAAGTGTGAAAACATGTATCTCAGCATGTCGTGTTTTACATGTCACTTTACACCCCGCCCCGTAGAGGCATAATTCCTGCATATATTTAACTTATGCACTTCAACCTGACTAAGATTGATTTAATGTTATAAGTTCAGGCATGAAGTGGAAAACAATCAAGAAAATGCTGTCAAAACAACAAAGGAAATTTAATGTTACTTACGTCGCAGATACATTTCTTGAGTTTTCATTTTATATGTGTCGCATTTTGAAATATCAAGATGTAGTGTGCACATATCATAAATAATAATTAGTATGATTGTGGTAACAATAGGTGACTTATAAAGAGCAAGGCCGGGGCAAGGGTTCGCTCAAAGCGCATATTTATATTACTGTTATATTACCCTGATCAGTTCCCAGGGGAGTATAAAATATCACAGACCATCAGCTGTAATCTCAGTATTATATTGTGTCAGTATTCAGCTCTATGTTTTCCGTATAATCTGTCCTTTAGCACAAGTGTCTGGTGTTCATGATTAAATAGATTATTGATTTACAACACAAGTACTTTTACTTCAACGTTTTAAGGTCAATGTTTGTGTGTTTGATTGATTATTAAACTCGTTACTTTTATTATGTTCGTTTGGACTTTGTTATATTGAACATATGTTAATGTTGACGCTTTAAAATCTACAAACATGTATTCAGCATGTTGTGTTTTATCGCTCTTTTACATATCTCTATACGCCTCGTCTGCTGTGAAAAATATAGTGTCAATATTCCATTTTATGGAGTTTTCTCTCTGTAAGATCTGTCATTTCTACTCCAGCATTGATGTACACTTCTGTGTTTTTAATAAATTTATGAATTATTTGGGTGTTTGATTGATTATAAAACTCGTTACATTTATGATGTTCTTTTGGACTTTGTTATATTGTACAGATGTTAATGTTGACGCTTTAAAGTGTGCAAACATGTATTCAGCATGTTATGTTTTATCGCTCTTTTACATATCTCTGTGCATCCCTTCTGCTGTGAAAAATATGGTGTCAGTATTCCATTTTGGGGGGTTTTCTTTCTGTCATTTCTACTCCAGCATTGATGTACACTTCTGTGCTTTTAATGAATATATTAATTATTTGTGTGTTTGATTTATTATAAAACTCGTTACTTTTATTATGTTCTTTTGGACTTTGTTATATTGTACAGATGTTAATGTTGACGCTTGAAAGTGATCAAACATGTATTCAGCATGTTGTGTTTTATCAATCTTTTACATATCTCTATACACCCCGTGCTGTGAAAAATATGGTGTCAATATTCCATTTTATGGTGGTTTCTCTCTGTAAGATCTGTCAGCATTGATGTAAACTTATTTGCTTTTTAATAAATTTATTAATTATAAATGTGTTGCTTGTTGATTTTCAGAGATGCCGTTCAATATGTGTACCGATGTTTACAGATGCAGTAAGGGTGTCGATGGTAAACCAGTACTTATAATTATATGTAATTTAGTATGTTTCTTAATGCATAATTTACTTGCATTGCTTAATCTTTTTATGTGTCACCTTCTTGAAATAAGGACCTCAGAAAGTGGATTGTCGAAGTATGAAGATATATACACCCAAGACAAAAGTAGGCGAGAACATTTATGTACATTTATGTACATTTTTCTTACATAAAGGAAGCCGTGGAGCAATACACAAAGGCTGGAAGACATAGATTAACACGTGACTTATGTTACTGTGGAATTCCCATTATACACACGACACTAGCGTTATTGCTATTAGTAAGGGTAGAAAACACATTGCCTCTAAAAATAGGATAATGATGTAAGCATCGTCGGGGGATTAAGCAACGTTTTATGGCTACCTTTAGCCAATTACTAAATACCACATGTACACGAAACGCACATACAACAGTTACTGCAACACACATCCTGATGGGTTGTTCTCCAAGCAGTATTCCCACCAACATATAAATGCCCCACTTGATCAAATATCGTCTTTTTTGTACAGAATATTTTTGTCTTGACTGTAGATACATGAACTTTCATAAATATATTTATTGTGCACGTACCAACGTGCTCATTCGAATGAAGACGGGTGCATATGTTTGGTTTAACACTTGTGTGGACTATATGTAAGCCATGTAACAATTGGTTGCCCAGATTTTCATGGATTATGTTTCCAGTCTTCTCAGCACCATACTCGAGCTCCTGGGTTTCAGTGGGAACTGGTGACCCTGCATTCGACTAACGCTGTAATTCGCTGTGCAAAAGTGTTGGTGAGCGATTATTGCTCAGCTGTATTCCAGCATGTCACAGCGAGGGACACATAGAACGGACTTCGTACATTGTGCCCATGAATCAAACCCACCACTGTTAAAAAGAATGATTCCTGTGATGTTGGTGTGAGAAAGAAACGTATATATTCCCCAAGTGCAGGGCCACCATCAAGTCGATTTAAAACCTCTTCAAATACTTTCTAAGAAGCCTTTTCCATTCAGTGATCACCACGAATTTCATATAATCTTTAACTGACAGGGCTGATATGTCCTCATTTTTTAATGTATTCCTTCTCAAAAGAGCCAGACTCGCAAATAACATCACCAGTGGCAGAATTGCTGGGTTGTTCAGGGTGGCTTCAGAACACTTCTTCCTGACTGGAATTGAAAAGCTTTACTATCGGTGTGAGAAGTGTATGGAAAAGCCGGGAGTTTATGTTGAAAAATAAAATTAAAAACACTTTCATTTGTTAGGCTTAAACCTTTTGACCAGTCCTCGTACTTGCATGAGGACATTATGTTATCACGCAGAGCACTGGCATTATGTTATCACGCACAGCACTGACATTATGTTATCACGCAGAGCACTAACATTGTTATCACGCTGAGAAGTGGAATTATGTTATCACGCAGATCACTGACATTATGTTATCACGCAGAGCACTTACACTATGTATTCACACAGATCATTGACATTATGTTATCAAGTAGAGCACTGAAATTATGTTATCATGCAGAGCACTAACATTTTGTGATCACACAGAGAACCGACATTATGTTTTAACACAGATCACTGACATTATGTTATCACACAGAGCACTGACATTGTGGTATAACGCAGAGCAAAAACATTCTTTTATCACACAGAGCAATGGCATTGTGTTATCACACAGATCACTGACGTTATGTTATTACGCAGAGCACTGACATTATATTATCATGCAGAGCACTAACATTTAGTTATCACACAGAACACTGACATTATGTTTTCACGCAGAACACTAACATTATGTTTTCACGCAGAGCACTAACATTATGTTTTCAAGCAGAGCACTAACATTATGTAATCCCTCAGAGCAATGACATTGTGTTATGACACAGATCACTGACATTATGTTATCACACAGAGCACTGGCATTATGTTATCACATAGAGCAATGGCATTGTGTTATCACACAGATCACTGACATTATATTATCACACAGAGCAATGGTATTGTGTTATCACACAGATCACTGAAATAATGTTTTCACGCAGAGGACTAACATTATGTTTTCACGCAGTGCAGTCATTATGTTATCACGCAGAGCACTAACTTTATGTTATCAAACAGAGCACTAACATTATGTTATCACACACGACATTAACGTTATGTTATCACGCAGAGCACTGACATTATGTTATCATGCAAAGCAAAGACATTGTGTTACAGACCAGTTCCAGAAAGTGCTGAAAATAAAACTTTTATATCTAAATAAATTATAATAGCTTGTTCCCTGGATTTCACGGTACAGAGTTGTTGCGTCCTGTATACAATTGTTTGGTTCCTATTTTCAGGCCAATATAATGTTGTGTCTTGAAGTAGTGAAAACATACTCTGTCTCTTTATGGTCAGTTCGTTTTCTTGTATGTAAAAGCAAAGATCGCATGTTCCCATCCCCTTGTAACTGTTATGAGATCATGCTGTAGCAACAAGCAAAGGGAACTAAGTTTAATACTTAGTTTACTGTGTTTACTGTGACACCGTGTTTTAAATACACACTGATTCACAGTCTTCTTATGTTTCTAAGAAGAGAAAGAGAGAAATCTGTCAAAGCCGGACTAATACTTGTATATAACATCAATAACATATTGTGATGACTTCCTTCACTTCCGGACTCAAATTGGGGGACAAAGTTCCAATTTATCTTGTAAATGAATGTATGGAGACGTACAGGTGCAAAAATGCATTGTTATTATTTATTCATACAATGTTTGCATGATTAAAGAAATGTTCTTTTTATAGAGATTCTTGCGTAGGTGTCGAATTTCCCAAGGTCATTTGTCCTTATGAAGACATAGCATGTATTACCACATGCCCTATTCCAGTGCTAAAACTATCTGATACCGAGTTGTAAAGGACTTATATTCGACAGATTATTTATTCGTGCGTTAAAACGTATCGTGGGATTTATGTATTTAGATATTTCTTTCACATTTACGTCAAAAAGCAGACAACATACTAGTTATGTACTGCAACCTTTATCGGAGGCGTAGATATATCGTAATATAAATATCATAAGAATCCACTTTGAACATAAGTGTAGGCGTCATGTGATTTACGTTTCACGCCGCTTTGAACGGAATATCAGTTATACAACGACATATCAGATTTAAAGTTCAAAGAAGGTCATTGTGTCCTTGACAAGTATGGGAATGTTCCTGACAAACAAAAGAACAAACTCAATGAGAATTTTGTTTAAAACCACAATCAGCTGATTGTGACGCAACTGCTCAGACTGAATTACTTCGCTTTAGCATACAGGGTCAATACCATAATAATATTATATAATAGTAACTGCTCCTTGTGATGTGAATGAAAAAACTTATGATTAAATTCTTAATAATTAATTATGAACAACGTTTTATAAAAAGGTAATAATTAACAAGGGATATATTCATAGAACTGTATCCTTCCTAACCAACTAAAAGAAGGTTACAGATGTTACAGATGGTTCGTATGCATTCAGAAAACAGAACTTTATATTTCAACTTGATATGAGTTTCATGAGTTATTTACGAGTTTATAACGAAGTTTGACAAAATGTTATCACTTGAATAAGATAGAACAATATTTAACTACATAGGATACCTTTTAATGAACTGAGGATTAAGGTTAAAATGTTTCGTAGTTTAACCGTGATTCCAACATTCAATATAGCTCCAGCATTTATATTCGGTGTGTCTGGAGAAGGAACGATGCAGACAATAGATCAAGGGTGAAGATGTGTCTTGCGATTATCCACAGCAATGTTCTTTTCCAGTGAATGAGCATACATGGTCAGACTTTTTAGCGTCATAGGCTACATGTACATGCAAGTGTATGCATAATTTGCATGCAGCTATTCTCAAAGGTAATTATTTAGAAAGTTAAAGCAACAGAACAGTTGTTTTTATTTGATACTTTACTGAATTAAAATCCTTTTAAACAACATCAAATTGGAGTACTGTTTTTGAAATATCTTTAATCTGATCTGGAGCCCGTGAATACATTGACAACACACAAAACATTTAAATATACATGTTAATGAATGTGCAGGTACCTTTAAATAGATAAATGAATACAATGTATGGGTATTACTTCAAATTATTAGATCATGTATATTCATCCTTGACAGACAAAAACACTTGGGAAGTACACATTACTTCCATCACTTTTCATACAAGTAATTTCAGCACTAAATGTTGAAATCATCAACATGCTCTAACAATCTTTTCTCAGAGTTTTTTCGGAGGTCTGAGTTAAAAATGAAAGTCTAACTCTTAGATAATGATCATATTTCAGATACCTCAGAATGGATCTTAGATTTAACTTACCTATTTGAAGAATAACACTAGGACAAATATGCAGCAAAATGTGGCAGCTGTGACTCATACTTTAAAAATATGCTGAATTCAAACGACCAAATATTCGTTTGTGATACTGTACATTCAGGAGGAAAACTGCATAATAATACGACCTACCCATGCAGTTAATCAAATACTTTATATATTCTCATCATACTTAAATGCTAGTAATGACAATTAACCTGGCAGTTGTTAAAATAAATCCAATTCAACTGAAATTTACTCCTGCAATAATATTATGGCAGGTTAATGAGTGGTCAAGAATATTGTTTTCATAATTCTTCATAAGAAGTCAGTGAGACAAAGTGTAAGATCATCCAAAAAGTCAGAAATCGTAAATTTCACACTTTATTAACCTCAAAATGAACAAAGAATTCCTTCCATTACAATTCACTGTCCTTCTGTGTCAACTGCAGCCGTAAACTCGAGCCTTCAAAGAGTTTATAATTGGGAATACTGTC